GGTGAGCCAGTTGCTAGTTTTCCCACCAGAAACTCAGCTGTCAATTTGACAGCATCAACAGCAGCTTTCACAACAGAAATATGATCAACAGCATGCTCATACAAGTCTCTTTTGCTGTTGCTCCTCTCCAAATCTGAGGAAGATGATGGTGAGGATTGAACTTGGGGAACGTTGTTCTCCTCGCACCATTGTTGCATTAGACTCTTGAGTGCATAGTTGGGTATAAGTGCCATGTGAATTAGCTTCTGACCACTTTTGGGGCATGTTTGGTGCCCTGAATTGATCCATTGGGCAATCGAATTTCTATCATAAGTGTGGCCGGATGCTACAATAACAGGATCTTTCATCAAGTCTAATGAAATAGGGCAGCGGAATTCGTCTGGGACATTGGGGATCAAGGATTGAGAAGATGAAGAATGATCATAATATCTATTTGAGGGTGTAGATTGCACTTTTAAGTCCTCTTTGCTGGGTTTTTCAAATTCGTCGTCAATAAAAATGATGGATTTGCAGTATGAAACAAGAGATGTAAGGTTGTTTATGTTTGATACCACAATTAGTCCACCACTCCCTGCTTGCTTGTGAGCTTCTGCCTCTAGCTTTAAAGTTTCTTCCTCATAATCCATGGTGTTTCTCAGACCAATGCTGCAAAGTATATCTTTCACTTTCACCGAGTCTATGAACCCTTTGTTCTTCTTGTTCTTCTCACTGTTGCTGCCCATCAAAACTAGAAGCTCTTCTCTTCTTTCCAGCTCTTTAAGGTCAATGAACAACTCCGCCCTTTTTGCTTGCCTGTGAAGAAGCTCAATTTGCTCTCTGATATCTGCTGTAACCTTAAGCAAACTCAGAGGTAAAATATCAAGTGCCCTCCCCAGCTCCTTCACTAGCACATAAAACTGATTTGAAACTAACTCTGTCTGCATAAGCCCCCACAAAAAGCTGCCATCTTTGCAATCTTGGATCAGAAACTTAGCTCTTCGAATCACGGAGAAAAGCTCGGTGAGGCACAGGATAGAAGACGGGGGAAGCGGGCCATTTGATTCTTGAATCTCTTCAAACAAAGAAGTAAGAAGCTTGATCCTCCTGATCATGGTTGAGATGTTCCTAGCCTGCAGAACTGGAAGCTTTTCCATGGAGCAAACCTCATTGCATGTGTGAATCAATGATTGTAACAAAGACCCTGTTGGCAAAAAGCCTGTGGAAACCATCAGAGGAGGAACAAGAGCAACATCCATGGTATATCTATCCTCTGCTTCTTCTAAATCTGAATATTTTTCTGTTAATTTCTGTGCCAAAATTTTCTTTTGGTTAGGAATTGAATTTCCTTGAACGTTGAAGAAGAAGAACAACAACAACGTTTGTTTCTTGAAACAAAAAATTACATATACTAAATTTTTGATATTAAAATGATGGCCAGAGAAAGGAACATTAATCTAATTGCATGGATTCTTGACTGTTTCTGTTTGGAAAGTTGACATTAGAAGACAATAGAAAAGGTGGTAAGTGAAGGAGTGAGAGGGATTCATGGGATGCTGCCACTTGGAGGGACGTCCGGCCTTCTAGGGTTAGTTTTTTTCCGCCCCAGTTTTCATATTTAAAAAATTTGCCAGAGACGTTGAATGGAAGTGAAGCCATTTCAAACTTGAATTCGGTGACCCAATTCGTTGCAACTTTTTCTTTTATGTCCACATATGGAATGTCTTGTTAGGAAAGCATTGAGCCTTCGGCGCAGCAGAGACCATAGCCGTGGACTTTTGGTAACTACAAGTATTTATTTTGTACTAGTTTCTTACTATCTCTAATATTTTATGATTTTTCATGAAACCGATTTCACTCTATTGCTTAGAAGTTACAATATATGTTATCTGAAATATATAATATTATATACTCTGCATTCTTCATTTTAAAGTCTTTTTTATTTTTGTATTAGCGGTATCGGGGAGGCGAACGTTGACCACAACACATCAGCTGCTGTAGGAATAGATTCTCTTAACTGGTGGCACATCGAATTGTGATTTCACCTTTACTTTTAATCACTTGAGTTATAAACCAATATTAATATACCTAAAGACAAAAAATAAAAAAAAATCTAATTATACATTACTACAACTTGGATATTACATGTATATATACATATATTAAATAATAATAAAATGAGCTCACCACAGAAAACGACCAAGCAAATGCGACTTAATTGTGAGGACAAATTGCCAAACATGAACATTAGAAAGAAAGGGGAAGAATAAGTCAAATGTTCAAAATTAAAAATAAAAATAAAAAGAGAAGAAGAGCATGGATTAGTTGTTGCTAATTTATAATTGCTTCTGTTTTAGCAAAATAAGTTCTACTTAAACTTCAAATTAACCAAGTCTACTAATCCTGTAAACATAAGTCGGTCTAATTTCATCTCATCCATTACACAAATGTCATCAAGTATGACGAAGATGATTACGAAGATGATGGTGACAATGTTTTCTCTTTCTTTTTTGAAAAAAAATTACCATAATAATAAAAGGATAACTTCCAAAAATAGAAGGATACCCTATTGTTTCCCAAAACCTAAAGGACCGAGGATGTTAAAGTAATCTACTTAAAAACATTATTTTTTATCTAGTTTTCACATCTCCTTTGTGAAAGTTTTTCATCTCTCTTTTGTGAGAGTTTTATTTGTATTGTTATGGCTTAGTTTTTTCAAGCTTTATCTCTTTCTTAGTTTTTTCAAGCTTTATCTCTTTTTTATTATTCTGAGTTTACAATCTTAGTTGGGATGTTTATGTCAAAGTTTCTTCAATCCTGTGTGATCGTTATAGTGAAGGGGCACCAAATTATTTTAATTTTGATGTTAAACCGCTTTGTTATTATAATGACCTTTTGTGGCTAATTTATATTGGCTTTTTGTGGCTAATGATTTTTTTTACTAATGAATGCAATCCTAGAATTTCAAAAAAAAAGGAAAAAACAGTGAGAAGGCCGTTTGACTTGGCTGTTGGCTAGCCACTGAAACAAACTTTTTCATTTGGATTATGTGCTATTAGTCGACTTCTCGTACATTAATTAATAATTACATAATTATAATACTTACACGTCAAACAATAAATCCATTTGCGTATCCTGCTAACAACAAATTCAGACCAAAATAATAATAATAATCCTGCTAACAACAAAAGAATGAAAGCTCCATCGTGTGCTATGCAAAATTTATTTCTTTTGAATTACAATAATCATGTTTCTTAACATCATATGCATATTCTATTTCTTTTGTCCAAAGCCCTTTAGCAATTCACATGCTACTTCGTCTTCTGACCAAAAAGAAAAGCATCATATTGGGCCTGCCATGTTATAGTCAGCCCATGTCGCCTCAGGCTTCTCTATTTTTGAAGAGTGCTAGGATTAGTCGTTCATATACACGTAAAAAATTATTAGTCATTCAGATCATAAGTCTCACGATACATTATCGGCTCACAACCATCTATACGCGCTCAAACAACTGATACAATAACGTGCGGTGGGCCTACTTCAAGTCAAATCTAGAAACATGAATAGCTTTATCAAACATGAATAAGTGGAAAATGGTGGGGAAAGTGGAGCAAAGACCATCATGCCCAAAGTCAAGCCACAAAAAATATGCTACAGCCTATGACACCACTTTTCTTTCTTTCTAAATCCCCAAAAGAAAAATATTTATAAATAATTAAAAAAAACCCAAAAGAAAAACGAAAATGTCAATCTCTATCAACCCACCCTAATGATTCATTTTTGGGCCGGCCCATATTCCTTCCTCTATGCACATTCGGCCCCCACGCTTTTTTCACGAGCGTGTCGGGCAGTAGTTGGGTTGGGTTTGAAAGGCAAGCACCGCGTGAGGATCACTTCCGTCATGTCGCTAGGTTTGTGTGGTCTAGGAAAACGACAGCCATTTCAACAAGTGGGCTCTTGGAGTTGGAGGAGCACTATTCTCATATTTGTTCCATTTCCACTTTCTTTTGCCACAAAATGTTTGAAGTGACATTTTATTCCTCATTTGCTCACAAAATTTGGTGACAAAATTGAAGTGTTCTTCAAAATCAAAGTTAAGAGGACTAAAGAAAGAGTTTGGCAAAATGTCAACAAATCAAAAAAGAAAGAATGTGCCAAATGATTTAGGTTCATTAGCATGTAGTGTATGAACTCATTTGATCATTTACTTAATTTTATGAAAAAACGATATCTTATCAGACATTTTAAACGTACAATTTTGATTAATGATCTTGTTATTTAAAATTCAAACTTATGGCTATCACAATTGAAAGAAGACTTTCATGTTTTTAGGTACTAATCATGTTTATTTCATAATTGGCATTGGTTTCTTTCATTTGGTTTGATTGCAAGATGCAAAAATATGTTTGATCAGAAGCATTAGAATCATTTTGACGACCCAATCCAGTTGGAAAAATGGTTGATGATGGATTTTTATGTTTTTAGGAATTAATCACAAGCCAGATTAATGGTGTTAGAGTGATGTCTTGGGCACCACCATAGGTTATATAGATTCCAAGTTCATCTTTTTACACCTTGCCATGTTTCCTTCTTGTGGACAAATCCAGCTTTCTCTTGATATTTGATTTACTTTTCTGGTGAAATTTCCTCTGTCAGTCAAATGAAATATGTCATCTTTGTTGATGAACCATCATATCCCATTATAACCCACCAATGGCGCATGATGATGGTGCCCCATCTTCAATTATTTGGCTTCTCTTTTTTATTTCCAAAAAAATGAAAGGAAAAAAAATACACAAATAATCATTTCAGAAATTAAATTAGTAAAGAGAAAAAGGTCAATCCAAACCACAAATGGACCATGCAAAGTGTTTGGACCCTGCAACCTGCATAACACACTCCATCCAACTGAAGCATAATTTAGAAAATAAACCATATAAAATTTATTTTATATATATATATATATATGATGGAAAGGAGATTACTCATTATACAAATTGGAAGTGGATTTAGTTAATGAAGCCATGAACATGAAGGGAAGTCATGAGCCTCGTTCAAGCTCATCCTGTGCAGCTTGCAAGTTGCTGAAAAGAAAGTGCAGCCCCACCTGCATTTTCGCACCATATTTTCTCCCCGACGAGCCCAAAAAGTTTGCCAAAGTTCATAAAGTGTTTGGAGCAAGCAATGTGAGCAAGATCCTAACTGAAGTGCCGGAGGAACAACGCGAGGACACGGTGAATTCGCTGGCTTATGAGGCAGAGGCAAGGCTGAGAGATCCGGTTTACGGTTGCATTGGTGCCATAGCTATGTTGCAGAGGAAGATGATTGAGCTGCAACATGATCTGGCTATTGCTAGAGCCCGTCTTGCTTGTTATGCTTCCAATTCTTTATCATCATCACCACCAACAGCTTCTGCTTCTTCTTGTTATGGTGTCTTGGATGATCAGCTCAGTGAGGCTGCTTTCAGTGCGGTTGGCTTTCCTGCCTGCAGCGGATTTAGTAATAGTTTCATGAGCCAGAGTGCACCTGAACTGATCAGCCATAGCCAGCATGGACAAACTAGTGATTTTAGCTGTGCCCCATATATACTGTGAATTTTATTATGATCTCTTTGTCTCTCCCTCTGTGATGGTAATTTGGGAATATGTGGCCTTACTTTGTGATTATAATAAAGTAATGGGATCGGTGAGAATTTAAAGCAAAGGGAGGGGCAGCATATTTATTTTCAGCTCAGCCTCCTTGTTTGAGAACCCAATTCGTGTAGCTGATCACCTCACAGAACACTTGCCTTTAGATTGTTTTCCAGGAATGAATTGTGATTAGTAGAATAGAATGCAAAAGTGGCTGTTGGTGCTTCTACAATGCTAGAAAGAGTGTGACTTGTTTAAGTGTTCTTCTTGTTCTTCCATTAACCTTTAGATGCTCCTAAACAAGTTTCAGAAGCCTGGAAATCTGAAATTTCGAAATCTCAAACACCATCTGATCCAAGATGAAATATCAGCAGAAAGCACGCTAGTTGTGGACATGTCTGGTGTGACCAATTTTCTCTAGCCAAGCATTCCAAGATAGGGAGACTTTAACTTTACTAACTGTAGCATTGCGAATCCAAATATTTACACAGTACAAGACTAAGAAGAATAGTTCAACCTCAGAAAATCCTCCATCAAGCAATCTATATAAACCAACTTCCATTGATTGATTCTATAACTCAGAACAGAAACTAGTGATCAAATTAGCATTGCCATTCAAGAGAAAAGCTGATACAATCCATGTAATCTATGAATGGAGCTTGATCATTATCAACAAATAATATTACACTACAGAAACATAGAAGTACAAGAAGTCTGTAGGGCTAACAACTAGTCATGTACACCAGAAACATTACAATAATTCATAAACATAGGCATCCAAAGCCCTGAACTTGAAACTGCAGATATATAAATCATGGAGCTCATGATGTGTACTTCAGAAGTAGCGATCTGGATATCGAGCTTTCCACTTAGATTTCTTACATGGTCTGATTTGTGGCATGACAGAAACAACTTCCCATTTGAAAACGGAGAGTCAACCTCAGCTTATAACTTCTTTCCTGTTTAAGGTATAAGAAATAACAAAACTTATAAGATCATGAATAGAAACCAATCTCAATCAAGTAAAGCAGTGAAAATAATTTCACCAAATCATCACATACAGATTCTTGAGACAACAGCTGATTTATACAATGAAGTTAGCTGGAACCAACCAATTTAAAATATAGACAGAAAGAGTAAGCATTGAAACCAAAACTGATCACATTGCAAAATTCTCTTAACAATCAAACAAGACCCAGAATGTATTTTTCAAGCTACCTCTACAAGGAGCACACCTGGGGCGCTTCATCTTCTCCAGCTCGACCTGAGCATCCTTGAACATATTCAACCTCTGGAACTCGAGTTCTTTTGTGAACTCCATCCTCTGTTTCTCCAGCTCCATCATCTGCTCCTGTTTCAAATTCTCCATCCTCTCGTATAATTCCCCAAATTTCAATATTGCCCCCGCCAATTCCCTGCACGCCGCTCCACCCGATAACCCCACCGCCTCCATCCGACGCTTCCTTACACCATCACCATTACAATCCTCACCATCTTCACATCCAATTGAGCTCTCCCTGGACCCACCCAGGGGCTTAGGCTTAAGGTCTAGGGATTTGACAGTGAGAGTGGGAATTGAGGGCTTTCTTTTGGTCGAAACGGCGGCGTCCGGTGAAGAGCCGATGAGGGAGTGGAGGCGGTGGTAGAAGGGCCACGTGGAAGGGCTAGGCTTTGACTTTTCCAGTTTGTACTTTTTCTTCAGGGTGTCGATGCGGTTTTTGCACTGGACGTCCGTCTTGGACGCCTTGACGCCGCCGTTTAGTCCAGAGTTAACGGCGTCCGCCACCTCCTTCCAGTCATTCTGACGGAGATTGCCGCGGTTCAGCTGGAGGTAACGGTCGCCCCACGCCGTGATTAGCGTCGATGTTGCGTCCTCACTCCAACAGTCATCCCGGCCACCGGGGGCGCGGGTCCTGGTCGGGCGATGCATGAACGGTTTCGGGTTCGGTGGTGGAGAAAGAGGGAAACAGCGGGATTTTTTGGTGTGGGTAATAATGATGGGTTGGGTGTCGATCGAAAGATGAGGAAAAAGATCGGACTGAGAAGGAAATGGAAATCTGGCCGTCCATTGTACCGGCGGTGACGTCAGCTCCTCTATCGGGGTTGGACGGACTACCATACCATTGACCGCTTTAATTTAACCATGTACGACGTTGTCGATGGTTTTAGCTCGGTTTCACTGTCAGCATTTGTTTAGTCTCCGGTTTACTGTGGAAAACGCCCGTTAACACTAATTAATTGAGAAAATAAATCATTTGATTAACACTAAATAATCTCATATTTCTCCTTCAATTTATCGCTCATATCTAAACCCCTGGATTTCATTTCGTCCAAGACCAGTTTTGCCTTGTCAAACCTCTTCAACTTGATGAGCCGGTTCGACAAGCTCCCGAAATTCTCCTTGTCCAGCCACGTGTCCCTCCCGCTAACGCTCCTCACAAACTTCACCGCCTGATCGTAAAAGCCCGCTCTCAGCAGCGAATCAATCACGTACATGGGTGTCGAAAGCTGCATCGGCACTCCATCGTCCACCATCCTCCTCAGCAGCACCAGAGCCCCCTCCACCTTCCCCGCCTTGCACGCGCCCAGCACCAGCGCGTCGTACGTACGCGTGTCTGCCCTCATCCCCTCCTCCTCAATCCTCTTCAGCACTGCAGCCGTCGGATCCAAATCTCCGGAGAAACAATACGCCATCAGTAGATAATTGTACGCCGTCAGATCCGGCGGAGCCCCAAGCCTCCTCATCAGATCCACCACGCCCCACGCTTCCTCCATCCTCTTCTTCCTGGTAACAACATTGAGTATGGGGTGAAAGCTACGCGCGTTCAGGCCGTAGTTTCCACGGGCCATCATTTCCACCAAGCGCAGCGCCTCGTCGACCCTCTCCAGCTTACAGAGCCGCACGATGAGCGAGTCGTACGCGCTCTTTCGGGCGAAGCTGTCGAGACGAGCCAGAGTTCGACAGAGATCGTCGAGTACGGAGAGGGAGGCGTCGGTGCTGGTGATGAACTTGAAGGTGTTGGTGGTGTTGAAGCACTGGTCCTTCACGCGCTTGTTGAGGAGGTGGCGGAGGCCGTCGAAGTCTCTGGAACGGCCAGCGGCATTGACCTGGTCATCGTAGTAGGCCGAGGTGGGGATGTCGGGGAAAGTGTTGAAATTGAGGCTTTGGGTTGGGAAGAAACGGGCGGCGACGGTTCGGAGTTTTCGGAGGAGTGCCATGGTTGGCTGGCTCCGATTCTGAGGGTTTAGGGTTTAAGGCTGCTGAGTAGAAGCAGCAGAAGCTCCTAGTCTCAATCAAAACCCCCCCAATTGAGTAATGGCTGAGGGTTTTGGTTGGAAAATCTTGGGCTTAATTGGGCTGGGACATTTTCCATTTGTATAAAAAGAAAAAGGGATCTTTATGGGCCAAGTAATGCTGGTTGTAGTTTGTATTTTGGGCCTTGAGGCCCCATTTCTCCAACCAAAAAAAGCATTATGCATGCAACGAACGAGACTATGTGTAAAAATAATTTATTAAAAAAATATTTATACGAACATCATCAGAAAAGTAATTTAAAAAAAACTCTTGTGGTTGAAATTTGTTAAACGGTGATTGATCCGTGAATTTCAATTTTATTTAAACAAATTTTCACACCAAAACCAAAGTCCTCCACCTCCAACATATGAACGAGGGCACCGACTTTCCGTGTCCCTCAAAACACTATTATGACTATAAGTTCAGCTATGGACAAATATTTTGCCATCTATAATGCCGACTAATTTTTGAGGATGGCGACCCAACAACACACATTTCAAAGGTAACAAACAAGTTGTTCAATACATTATGGTCGTGACTCGTGTTCTTGGAGAGAGACTTTCTTGCCCCGATGTCAATGTCCTCTCGTCCCTATTTCCCTCCTCATCATGTGATAGGTGATATGACCACCGAGATATGGAATTTTTCCTTGTTATTGGGTTGCCCTTAATCGCAGGCTGATCAATCAAAACCAAAAATTTCCACATCACACCACGAACCCCTAAGAATCTCAGGATAAGCTAATTAAAACGGCCTTTAAGCAAGCTTGTCTTGGTCTGGCTTTTGTGAAAAGACGTGATGGATTATATCACAAACCAGCTGGACAAAAGGGAGACAGACAACAAGCCTGGCCGCCAGGGCCTATGAAAAAAAAGAATATTAAGATCAACGACATCAATGCATGCGTATGGAAAGCATGCATATCCATTGAAGCCAAAAGAAAAGAAGAAAAAAGAGTAAGATTTTGATCTCTCTCTCTCTCTCTATCGTCGGCGTTCTTATCTGGGTCTAAGTTTGGCTTTCAACTTTATGCCTTTTTCCAACAGGGATGTATTCAGATATAACTCATCATCTTTGTTCCCGTAGGGACCTAGTTTGACCTATTTTGCTGACTTTCCCTTTTCACTTTTACTATTCTTCTTGAGCCTCCTGGTACGTCTCACTGTCTTAAAAAGGAAAAGTTCAAACTATAGACTTGCTCAAGAACAGTTGAGAGTCGGCATATATAAAATCAGTATCCAACGAATTGTAGACTCGGATTTTTTAAACCCCAATTCTCATATACGTAAAAGCATCTAAGATTACTTAATTATTATTGCGTATAAATTGTTTTCCGGTGATTTTTTTATAAGACTTTCCACAAATAGACTCATTCTAGCATGACTCACTCCTACACCTCCAGCATGGGTGCGGTGTACTTTTGCACCACCATAATAAATTGCACGTTAATACTGTAGCCCTTTACCCTTTAATGCGATTATGTTTTCTTTCTAATTACATACAACCTACACCACCAAATTTATCAAATTTGCTTAGAAAACTAATATTGTTGGCAACAAGACGACGAGATTTGAAGCATGTTCAATGGCTGTTTAATCATGATTTGGGAGATTTGTCTTTCTTCCTGGTTCTTTCAATGATGATGCACAGTTATGCTTTTTTTTTCTTTTGTCAACAGAGTTACGTTAGTTTCTGATGTATGACGAAATATGGGTTAATTATGGTGTGAAAAATTCATTAAAATAAAGTGGCTCAAAGTTGGAAGGAAATCGTGCAAGAGATGAAAGTTTCGATAAAATGTCAATTATGGCGCTAGGGAAAGAAGGAATGCGTTGTTGAGAGTGTTTGTCCTACATTAAAAAGTTAAGGGACTTAGCCTAGGTTTATAAAGAGTTGGGCTACTCCCCCTTTTCCCCAAACTGCCAATTGGTTTTGGGGTATAACCTCAACTTCCTTCATGGTATCAGAGCAAGGCTTCACGTGTTGGGCCCAACGGCCACATGTGCTCCCACGTCACCCAATATATGTTGTCCACGTGTTAGGCTTGAAATTCGCCACACGTGTGGGGGCGTGTTGATACTGTTTGTCCCACATTGAAAAGTTAAAGGACTTAGTCTGGGTTTATAAAGAGTTGGGCTACTCCCCCCACTGCCAATTGGTTTTGGGGTGGAACTTTAACTTCCTTCATGAGTATCGTTGGGATTTTCGGATTGATTCAAGAATTTTGAAGCAATTATAGATTCTGTCAAGATTTATATTTACTTTAATGTTCTATTTTACATATTTAGAATAAGTTATCAATCATGATATTATTTTCCTCATATGATTTTAATTAGGATTTTTATTGTTTTTTTGTTAGCTAAGTTTTAGGAATATTATGGAACTTAAGGTTTCCTACAGTGTAAGGATTTCTTTGTTTTCTATTTAAGCCAACTCATGACATTGTATTTAGATAATTCAATTTATTATCAATCATATACCTTTAAATTTTACTCAATTTTCTGGTGGATTCTAGTTTGTTGGTGAATTCCAACATTATTACTTTAGAGTTGTCATTCTATCTCCCTATTATCCTATATCTCGTTGCATCAGTTTCGAATCCTGATTTGGGGTTTTCATCAAAGTTTCATTCTAACCAACCCTCCCCAACCTTTTTAATTCTATTGTTCTTAGAATAATTTGTTTCCTTTTTAATTAGCATAAAAAAAGCATTCAAAGTTCCAAGTACAATATAGCTTTTAATTCTTTCTTTTTGTTGTCAAAAAAAGGAAAAAGAAAAAGATAGTTATGAGCATGATGTCGTGGGGGTGCTTACTGACTCAAACAGCATTGTACATTATCTCAAATGAACATTTGACCAAGAACAAGCTAACTCTTTGGTATGCATCACACTAATTACTGTCTAAATTTCTTAATACAAATATATATATTAATTTAGATAAGTATATTTAACATATAAATATTATTTTTATTAATAATATTTTTTTATTTTTGTAGGAAACACATGAAGTGGAAGAAGCACTCACTTCATTATTCCCCAAAAGACTCACATATTTATAAGAGTTGCTTGTAGTTCACAAGAATATTAGCGTCAGGTCTTTCTAATTATCATTTATTTTTTATTTTTTTGGTTAGAGAGTATCGAAGCAGAATCTTGATGATCATCATCTATATCTGATCCTAGCTTAATGCGGAGGTGATTTTGTGCTCATTATAGTCATATTTCTTCAAACGAAGAACTATACCTACCACCTTAATTCAAATCGAGGAATTGTGTTAATTAAAGAAGTAGCTGATCTAATTTTCATTCATTCTCTTCCACGTTCCCATTTCAAATAAATAAACGTTGCCAATGAAAATATTCGCACCCTTCTCTCTCTATCATTCTCTCTCTCTCTCTCTCTGAAAACGCACGGACTCACAGAGCATCTTTCAAGAAGAAGTTAATAGGGCGGATAAAAGTCTTGATTTGACGATGGCATCTCTCTGGTAAATGGTAATGTCATGTGATCATATCGAGCACTTGGATCCATATGACTTCTTCCACATACATCAATGACTTCCTTGTATTGTAGTTGTTGTTGTAGATACCCCCAGCTACCTAACAATTTTACAGCTGACCCGACACCGCACATCTTTTCCTTTTTGTTTTCTTACCATCGGATAAATTTGTCTCAGTATGAGCTGCAACGTACACGCTGTTCAAATGAATATGTGTCGTCGTAATCAAAATCTATACCATGTGTTTTGTTTCTACGTGCTTGCTATTACTTATGTAATTTCAACAATTTATATGTACTTTTATGAAATACGTTTAGCTAATACTTTTGAATCATAATTCAAACAATTATGGGTTTCATTTCATGCCAACAAGTTTTTATAAACCTATCCATATCCCTTCTTTTCTTTTTTGTAGGCAAGATCTCACACCCGCATATAAAATTATAATAGATAGATTTAGTGCCCTTATGATTCTTCAAGGGTCACACAGAACGCGGTGAGCGACGGGACTAATTTTGATGTTTAATTATATTAGGGTTTTTTTTTCGGTTTGAGGACTTTTCCTATTAAGAGAGTCGGTATTATTCTCAAATCTCAAACCACTACAGTAGTAGATTCTTTCGTCTTTTTTTTTGGGTTTAAAGTCAAAGGATTTGGAGACACATTTATATATGTATAGGACATCAAAATGAATAAAGTCAAAGGGCCGGCCTCCAACAATAATACAACTCTTAAACAATGAGCATGGCAATCACATTATTTGAGACTTGGGAATAATATTGCATGCCTTGGTTGGACAAAGATGAAATGGACCACATGGCTAGATGGATCTCCAAGATTTTCTAATGAGATAGGGTTTGCTAAAGAAATCGGAAACAGATATTAAGGATTTGTTTAAACATCCAGATCCGACCATCCCATCTGTTTATAAGCAAACTTGAAGATATGGAATCCAAATAATTAATAAAATAGGCGTACGTTACCTCTCCTTAGTCCCCTAGACTATGAACTTCTAATTTTTATATACATGACTTTTCATGGACGTCTCAAGCCACCTAATCATGTATATGTACCCAGTAACGTAACATTTGCCCAAATTAATTACTTTATTGGTGTAATGTTAAGTCATACATGTTTGATCGCACCTTAAGTGGAATTGGAGTGAAACAAGGAGAAGTAGTCAAGAAGGTTTAGGAATTAAGTCCAATTCTTATTATAAAAACACTAATTAAAACAAAATTTCTGTGGCAACTTCACTTTAACTTTATTGTATTAGTATTTTTCTTCTCAATATTGAAAGATATTTCCGACATCGAATCTCTTCTCGGCGGTTAATTAAGAAAAAAGATGGAGAATAAAATTAGGACGAGACAGCTTCACAATTAAAAACCTAGTGCATAGAAGGGAATAAAAACTATGACATCCATGCAAGATGCACCTGGATCATCAGTACGTACCATTAACGAATCATATCTCAATCTCTGTGATGGGTTTTAATTGCAAGAGCGATTAAGATTCCGAGAGAGAGACTAAACTTTCTGTCATCAACTTTATGTGCATATCCAAGTAAGTAAATATTCTGCAGGAAGATTTAAAACCAAAAAGGAAGAGACAATCGAGGAAGACAAAGGCACCCAAACAGAGAGATTCATGGGCATCAATACCAAATCTACAGAGCTAGCTGACTTCATCAACTTTATGCAATATGTAGTCCATATCTAAGGGAGGAATTTATCAAAAGAAAGCCTGAAGCTGAAGGCACTATCTTTAAGGTTCACACACAGTGGAGGACGTCCTTTTTAAAGTAAGCCTGCCCGCCTATGTAGATTGGGATACGAAACTCTTTTCTTTAATTATAAACCTGCCTGCCACAATCTCTAGGACAATTAATACGTTATTTACAAACTAAATTCTCAACAAAAGCATATTTGAATCTGATTAAGCGCTAGCATCCATTAAGATTCTAGCCACTGAGCTTGGTTTGGCCTTTCAAGAATTGTTTTTTTTTTTTTTTTTTTTTTTTTTTTTTTTTTTTTTTTTTTGTGTTTTTGGTTTTATTTTGGTTTCCCTTGTTCCGTTGTCCTTTCTTCTCCAAATATGTCTAACTGAACCAAATTATTAAATAAGAAAAGAAAATCTGTGTGCGGTTAAATTTGTTGGCGCAGGACAACTCACCATGCCCCTTTTGTATTGGTCAAAAGTTCAGGGGGAGGGGAGGCTACCCTATTCCAAGGACAGGATATACCAATGCCTCTTTGAGGACTTATAGAGGGAGTCTTAGTCTTTGTTTTTGTTTTTACAGATTACCCACCAAGAGGGATTGTCGGCAGTGGGATTCGAACCTAGGTGTAATGAAGAGAACGATCTTTACCAACTCAACCAACCCTCGTTAGCACTCACCATGCCCCTTTTAAAGGAAGAATTAATAATGAAGAACTGTTGCAGCTTCAAAAGTCAATAGTTAGTCAATTGGAAATTTAGGATGGTTGTAATTATCTGGTGCTAAGAAAACCATTACTGAGTTGTTAAACACGTGATCAATTATTTTTAAATTTTTTGGAAAACCATTCATATCACTAGCTTTCCTTTTCTTCAGGCTATATATAGCTTAAAGAATTACAACTTCCATTACATTTTGTCATAGAGTTCCTATATGAAAAAAGCAGTCAAAGGCTTTTATTGTCATGAAATAGAGAAAACATTGACAATGATTTTGGTGTTCTTGTTTGTATTGTATAAATAATGAATTATCAATTAGTGAGATTTGATGAATTAATTAGTTGCTGATATGTTGTCTTACTTTTATACTTTCGGGTCAAAATGAAAAACCTAAGAGATCAAAGATATTATGGGATTTTTTTTTATCAATGAAATTCACTTATATCATCGAGTTCTCTATCTTATCAACACATAAACTAAATTTAACCTACCCCATTTTGTAATCATGATTCCGGCCATGCTGGTAACTATAAACTATGCGGGAGGCACAATGCATCTCCACCACTTGCTACTTAATATATATGTTCCTAAAATATTGTTTACTTTACATTCAATAGTACATGGCTAAGTTTGTATAATATTAAACTGACATGGGTTTTTTTTTAATAAACAACTAAAGCACTTCAGAACCACCCCCCAGGAAAGGCAAAAACATTTCAAAGAGTTCGAGGAACGAAATGATAGATACCTACCTGCCTGCCTATACAATATAATAAGATTAAGAACCGAAAATTATTACTACTAATTCAGCTATGCTGCACTGCAGTAAATTTAGATTGAAAAAGAAGAAAACGACTTTAAGACTAGACTTGTATTTTGACACGAGTGAACAGAGAGGAGAGAAGGGAAGTGTTTTTTCTTTCACATGCGTTTTAGATTTTTGTTTATTTTTCAAGGTGATGAGATGTGTGGCACAGTGACAGTGGATCTTCCTAAAATGCCGTTCCAAATCATCCATATAATTATATACAGTATTTTTTTGGTCTGCAGGAATCAATGTCCTCCTTAGATTAATAACAGACACAAAATAATCGTAAAATTATTTATAGACCCCACCTACCCTAAAAGCCAAAAGCCAAAAGAAAAAGCCCGGTTTTCATCTTCCGTCTTCATATCATATTTTCATATCCCAATCCCACCACCACACAAGAACACAATAGCACACAAACACACAAGAGCACACACAGAAGCAGGTTTTACGTAATATTGGTATGATTGTATCAATATCTTTTTGCATAAGATACCCCAGACATGAAATTGACAGCTATCACTCTCCACGTCCCTCAGTTCCCCCTGCACTTGCACAGTTGCACTGCACCTCCCCATTAAACTATATCATAATTATAAATTTAAAAAATTACACAGATTATTATTAATTACATGTCCAAATTAAACGTGCACATAATTTATAAAATCAGAACCAATAATTAACAGCAGCCGAGAGAGAGCTATCAGTCTCAAGAGAGGAGAGAAACTTTCATGCCGTGGGAATAATACTATTTGTTATTTTCAACTAATAATACAGAGACATGTGATTTGATTTTTCGACCGCTCATTGTCTTATTAACATAGGATAACAAAACAATGTTATCCCGTTACAACTAAAGTTTCTTTTTCTCGAGGAGACCAAGTTGTCAATATTTTTTTGTTTTGATATTCATTTTCTCCATAAAGCGATACCCGGAGAATCTTGGCAAAAATCTTTCACAGTAAACAAACCAGCAAAACATAACACATTGCCGATGTCACTTGCTTCACCTCAAACCCTTCACCATATATTCCTTCCTGTCTGTCTCTTCTAAACTAAGAAAATCACACCAAAAACAAAACCCAAAATCCCCTCCTCCTCCTTCTTATCCACCACATTACCAAAAACCACTCAAACTAAGCACAGAAGAAGATAAACAAATCACTCATGGCAGGTTCTGTGCGTGTGAAAGAGGCTGTCGTCGTTGCGCCCTCCGAGCCCACCCCAACTTGCGTCCTCAACCTCTCGGCCATTGACTCGCAACTCTTCCTTCGATTCACCATTGAGTACCTCTTGGTCTACGCCCCTCGACCGGTCCTCAATCAGGAAGCCACCACGACCCGCGTCAAGTCCGCACTGGCCAAGGCCCTTGTCCCGTACTACCCGCTGGCCGGTCGGGTCCGGCCCAAAGCCGACGGCTCAAGCCTCGAGGTTGTCTGTCGAGCACAGGGCGCCGTGTTCATCGAGGCCGTGTCCGACCGCGCCACGCTCTCCGACTTCGAGCGGGCCCCGCGTTACGTGGCCCAATGGAGGAAGCTACTGTCGCTCCAAGTGGCCGACGTTCTCAAGGGTGCTCCTCCGCTCGTCGTCCAGCTGACGTGGCTCAAGGACGGAGCCGCGGCGCTCGGCGTGGGATTCAACCACTGTCTCTGTGACGGGATCGGCAGCGCCGAGTTCCTCAACTCGTTCGCCGAGTTGGCAGCTAGCAAACCCGGGTTCGCGAACGAGTTCAAACCCAATCCGGTATGGGATCGCCACCTGCTGGACCCACAACCCGTAGATCATGTAATGCCACGTCATCGAATTCCTAACGCGGCGAGTCACCCCGAGTTCAACAAGGTCCCCGACCGTTGCGGGTTCATGAACCGGTTCTCCAACGAACGACTCATCCCAACCTCCATAACATTCGAAAACATATACCTAAGCGAGCTGAAGAAACTCGCTCTGTCGACGAGTCGACTCAGCACCGAGTCGGCCTATACTTCGTTTGAGGTTCTCTCAGCCCACGTATGGAGGAGCTGGGCCAGAGCACTGAACCTAGCTTCAAACCAAATCTTGAAGCTCCTCTTCAGCGTCAACGTACGGAACCGAGTGAAGCCGAGTCTACCCGTCGGGTACTACGGCAATGCGTTCGTGCTGGGGTGCGCGCAGAGCAGCGTGAAGGATCTGGAGGAGAAGGGGCTGGGGCACGCGGCTGGGCTGGTGAAGCGTGCGAAGGAGAGGGTGGGGGAGGAGCACGTGCGGAGGGTGGTAGAGTCAGTGAGCGAGTCGAAGGCGAGTCCTGACACGGTGGGGGTGCTGATCGTGTCGCAGTGGTCAAGGCTGGGATTGGAAAGGGTTGACTTTGGGATGGGAAGGCCAGTGCATGTGGGGCCCATACTGAGCGACAGGTACTGCCTGTTTTTGCCAGTCGGTAGTAAAAATAATAAGGGAGGTGGTGATGATGATGATGATGATGATGGTGATGATCAGGGGGAATCTGTGAAGGTGATGGTGGCTGTCCCCACAAGTGCAGTTGACAAGTACGAGATATTGGTCAAGAGTCCATACTCGTGAGGACCACTCGAACACGATTCTCTCTCTCTCTCTCTTTCTTTGCTTAGCTCACATGCGCTGACTTTGTATAGTTCTTTTTCCTGACTTATAATATAAACGGGTTCCCTTGTGTTCCATTTTTTCATCCATGGTCCATGCGAGTGGTAAATTGTAAGCTGCGACGAGAACCGTTGGATCTAGCGGAAGAATCTTGTATTTTGGTCTTGGATTTTGTCTTTCAACTGAATTTGCTTGTGATGTGTGCAGAGAGTTGAAAAACATAAAGCATCATAATGGATCCAATTCATATCGATGCTGCACAAAATAAACATGTTTAATTAAAAGGGTTTCAAGCGGGAATATGCCTAAACTGATTCCGACGGTAGAATATATATTGGTTAGGCCAATTGAGCAGAACGGCTTATCCTTTTCTATATACCAAGTTCGATTTCCCTCTTTCTCGTAAATTAGAATATCTTTAGACTATGAATTACATAAATTATAAAAAAATAACTGGGACATCAAATTGCATAGTTGATTGGGTAAATCACGTACTTAATCATGTTGTGTTTTCTTTGTCATGCATTAGGGGCTGTGAGAAAATATTTGTACAGAGATCACAAGTTCTGCAAAGATGTGAAGGGATTGTGGCCCATGGCAGGTTGCACCGATGACATGTGATTGTTAAATTTGTTTTGATTGGGCTCATTAGAACTCATCAGCCCAAATGCCGATATTGAACATGCTCAACCCGACGACACTGTGAGTTGATGGGTTCGAATATTTGAATGCGCTTACCATATATCCCATTAGACTGCATTGTTTTGTTGTAGCCATTTTTTATTTTATACAAGCAATAATGAGGGAAATGTGAATCGAATCTAGACTAAAGCGTATTGATAAATGCTCCTAACAACTTGAGTTACAATCACGTTGCTCTCTTTTTCGCTTTAAGTTTCCTTAACTTGGGGGTTGAGACCTGGGAGGGCTCTGCTCCAATAGACCAGGGTTTATATATCTTTTATAAACACTGTGAATACATTATGGGAAAGGCCTATTCAATCTGTTTTGATGCGTTTTAGATATATTGCAGGGAACGTGGTATAGGTTGTACAGATAGATTGTCATGCAATTAGAAGGAAAACGCAATTAAGAAATTATATGAGGGAAAAGCTACAAGGTTGTGGTTCAAATTGGAACAGCTCCCCACCAAGCTTACAAGCCCACCAGACCCACCCACGACACGACAATATATAAGCAAGCTGCTCAATATTTCCAAAAGCTCACCTAATATCTTTTGCATAAAATATTAGGGTAAGTAAATTTTGCAACAGGGTATCGTATCGAATGACAGAAATTGTCCCTCTTCCTTTCTCTATTTGGGTGGTTTTTAACAGTCCAACAGGTTCCATTTATAGTGGTTGCTGTGGTGCTGCCTTCTGCCTTTGCGAGTTCCAAGGCGCTGGGCTGGACACCACATGCTTCCTGCCTGCTCCTAACTATTCCTGCACTTCCTCTGGCCTGCGGACACGTCATCCCCTTCATGCAAAATTCCTCCTCCACATTATATTCTCTCTTTTTTTCATGAAGAAAGGGGAGGCTACTCCATTTCAGGCTAAACCATATTAAGATCTGTTTGAGACATTATAGAGGGAATCTTAGCCTATTTTTTTGGATTTTACACATTATTTACTAAAAGAAATTGTTAGCAACGAGACTCGAACTTAAGCCTGAATAATAAAGAGAATGATTTTTACCAACCCAACCATCGCGACATCATATTCTCTCTCCCCCTTAAAGTAAATTTAGGTTTTAACCAAAATTTTTTTTTACTTTTGGAAAAAGCTAAAGTTTTTTCAAAAAAGACAGAAAAACCCTCAACTTTCAAATAAAAAACATGTAAATGTAAAGGATTCCTTAGAAAATCCAAAAATAAATAAGGGCAATTTAGTCCATTTTGGCTTCTTTTACAAAATTTCTCTCTCCTTTGTGTTTTTCCAAAATCTCCCTTCTCTGAATTGCCTCCATATATTGGTTCCGTAGTATACGTTATCAATTTACACACAACATATATACAGTATTTTACAATAAGTCATGCACACAACAGTTACACCCTAAAATATAATTTTTTAATGCAAACCCTAAAATATAATTGAAACATGTTATTCCACATGATTCAATCTTTATATAATTTATTTTCATATATATATATATTGAGCTTTTATTAAGGGATTCTTTAAATAAGTTTATTTAAAGAATATCCTTGTAGGGCCCATCAAATTGTTTTTAATTATCCGAACCATCTAATTTTTAGCTATTCTCTCAAATATCATATATGCAAAAAATCACTTGAATCCGAAACTATTTGACTACTCAATTAGAATATTATTATTTTAGTCTCTTTTCTTGAAGTATCATGTTCATGTATTTTGTTGCTATCAATTAGATTCCTTAATGATTTTCAATTTTTTTGATTTTCTTGCAAGGATAATCTATGAATGAAGACTCAAAAAATAAACCGTACAATTCGTAAGTATCCTAAAGAATGTCTCTCAAATGAAATTATTTAAAGAATTCCACAATGGAAGAGACTAATATATATATATATATATATATATTGTAATTAACCATCAGCTTGGATATTAGGTGCTTCTCTGATAGTTGTCATAGAAAACAAAGAGAGGCATGAACAGAGCCGGTCCATTGATTTTGGAGGCCCTGTGTAAATATGGATGTCGAGACCCTATATATACAAGTAGGAAAAATAAGATCCATATAGAAACAAAAATTTCTGACACGGGAAGAACACATTTAAAAGAGTTTCCCAGAAAAATTTCTTTAGTCACCCTTCCAAATCATATAGCTGATAAATTGATTTTCCAATTTCAATGCTTGGTGAATTCTCATGTGAATAAGGGAGGGAGAAAAGAACTGTGATTTTGGGGAAATGGCTAAAGCTTGGGTTTTTACAATCCAAAATTTGATGGAAAAGGGTGGTACATTGGTACTGAAGAGAAATGACTTTGTTTTGATGGAGGAGAGTGAGAAAGACTTACTGAAAGAGAAAAGAATATTAGAATGGTTTTGCAGCTTAAGAGTTGAGAAGAGGAAAACACAGGTTCCAAACCATAATAAATAAATAAAAAGAAGAGTTGCAGCGTGAAAGTTGGGAAGAGGAAAATGAATTAAATTAGAGCCTCTACTTTCTAAGTCGTAGAATTTGTTGATAATTAATATTCAATTCAATTTTAATTTTGGTGCCTTGCATGTGGTGTTGTGGGGTGATATTTAATATTTCATGTTTATTTTCATGTTTTAGTTAATTTAATAGGTTGACTTGAAAAAATTTGGAAGCCCCTAAATTTTGGGGGCCCTGTGAGGTTGCATACCCCATGGGCCGCCTTTGGGCATGAAGACATATTGGTTGTAATATGTAGCTTGCCATCGATATATAAATATATGCTGTGATATTTTGGCTCATGAATTAATAATGATAAGGATGTATCATATGACAGAGCTAGGGTTAATATATCATATGACAGAGCTAGGGTTATTAAGTATCTAGGTATGAGCAATAATGCTCTTTATCCTATTAGCTTTTAACCAATTCATGACCTTTCTATGAAAAAGCAATTCAAAAGAATTTGAATCCCTTTTAAGCAATTCAGATTTCAGATGAGTCAGTCAGATGGCCGACTTTGAGGACCTTGAAACAGGCCTAGTTCAACTTAATTATAACCGGGGTTTCAATTTAAGATCGTTGATCAAAATCTCTCTTCCCAACTAATTTCTGGCACGGGGAACCAGAACAGGAAGGCTGCTTGTCCCTGGGTCAAAAGACAAAGTTACTACGCCACCCACTAATTCCAAATTCAACGAATTAATGTAACCAGAAAGTAAAAAAGTAAATAGTTAATTACTCATGATGAATGAAGAGTATCGAACATGATCATCCAATTTTTGTTTCAGATTTGCATAAGAATAAAGTGGAGGCTTTTTACAGAGATAATTGAACGTGAACATGACCTTTTTTTTTCTTCTTCTTCAGAAAAGAAGAAACTAATAAAAACATTCAAACCCTAGGAATGAAGGAAATAACACACAAAATAATAAGTAAATGGTTTCAAATTCCAAAACCAATGTGCGCACTGACACCTGAACCCGGTCTGTTACTTCACTGCACAGCAATCACGTCCTCTCTTTCTCTCTCTCTCTCTCTCTCAGAGACTCTATCAATATTTTGTAAAAGAAGAGAGAAAAAAGAAGAAGAAGAAAAGCGAAATATAAATATAAAAGAGGAAGCACCGCCCTATTCGACCATTAACAGAAATGGCATTGAAAATGAGACCCAATATCAGAGAAACTCTCTTTCTATCGACTAATCGAGAACACTGAACGAGGTAGGGCACGTATAGTGTCTCCATCCATCCACCTTTGATTCTCTCCCCCAAAAACCAAAACCAAAACCCCCCCACTGTTTTCAATCCTTTAAAGCTCGCCGCAACTTCACCCTATGGAAGACGAACACCCCCTCTCACCTCCAGCAGCCCCACCTCATCACCCTCCCCAAGACAACGACAACAACAACAAAAGCCCTGACTCAACCACCGCCTCCACCGCCACAACATCAACAGAAACCACCAACAAAAAGTGCAAGGGCAAGGGAGGCCCCGACAACAACAAGTTCAGGTACCGCGGCGTGCGCCAGCGCAGCTGGGGTAAATGGGTGGCCGAGATCCGCGAGCCTCGTAAGCGGACGCGGAAGTGGCTTGGCACCTTCGCCACCGCCGAGGACGCAGCCCGGGCCTACGACCGGGCCGCCATCATCCTCTACGGTTCCAGGGCCCAGCTCAACCTCCAGCCCTCCGGTACCAACTCTCAATCGTCCACGCGTGGCTCCTCTTCCTCGTCCTCCTCCTGTAACTCCTCCAGCCAAACCCTAAGACCTCTGCTTCCTCGCCCCTCAGGGTTCGGCCTTACCCTCCCTTTCCCCTCATCAGCCCACCCGGTCCCGCTCATGGCATCGGGCTTCGTTCCGTATGGTGTTGGTGTCGGAGTTTACCCTAGCGTTGCTGCTGCTGCTACCTCGTCCGTACAGCTGAGTCAGCATCATCCTCATCATATTAATATGAGAGACCAAGATAATCTTCAAAATAATCCATTATTGCACCAACAACAACAGCAGCAGCAGCAAGTTGCGGTGCAACAATTTCATCATCAGTACCCGGTATCTGACGGTGGCGGTGGTGACACGTCAACCTCTTATCAAAATCCAAACCCTAGCCATGATCAATACCAAGAACTACTTCATCATAATCAAAACAATCAGGCCGATTCTTGTTCGTTCGATGACGGGAATTCGATTATGGGCTCCGGGTTGTCTCTGTCGTCTTCGCAACCCATGCCCGTTGCACCGGGGTGCTCGGATCCGATGAGCGGAGTGGGACCCATGTCTCCGTTAATGTGGCCGTTGACGAGTGAGGAAGAGTGTGCGCCGAGTCTTTGGGACTATGGTGATCCTTTCTTTTCCGATTTTAAAGGATTTGATTCCTGATGATGAAGAATTCAAGATCTTAGATATATATTTATATATATTTATAGTTCTGCATATCTCTTTTGAAGAAGAACAAGAGAGATACAGTAATGTACTCAATTCCTTTCAAAGTTGAAGCTTTATATGTAGACTGGGCTTGCATGCAAGGTTTCACAGTGATTTTGGTTTACAAATGGGTTGATGAAGAATATTAATTTACAAGATCGGCCAAAACTTGCTTGCGCTTATGGAGTTGATGAGACAACAGTGCTGGGAATATGAGTTTGATATTCACGAGGTTACAAAAGGCATACCGAAGTATTGGATTGAAGCTGGTGGTGATGGATAGAAATGCTTGGTGAGCACAAGGGTTTGGCAATTGATATATGATGATGCTGCAGAAAGATCGATCTAAGGTAAGGTTTTCTTTTTAATTTTCTCTTTATAATATCAGATTATTATTAAATACATAGGATGTTTTACTCATTTTTAGGATAGTTTGGGACAAAAGAAGAAATTCGATCGATCGATCCTTCTTATTTTATTTTTCGTGAACTGAGGAAATATTGTATCCTTTTCTAAAGAACATATATATAAAAATATCAAAAAATATATTAATTAGTTATCTCATTTTCTTGATCTGAAAAGGAAATTTGAGGTTTAGTGTGTAATTAATTGTGTGCATTAGCAACATGTTGGTAAGGTTCTCTTTCCTGTAATATTTCTTGGTGCCTTAAATTTGGCAAGAGCTAGTCTTCCTATTTCTTTGGGCTTTGGTGCGCCTCAAAACCAAAGAAAAAGGATTAGTATCTCTGCTTCTTAAGATCTGTCAAGACACACATCATCAAAGCATCAATCTTCAGGTATGACTTCATCTTGTCACTACAATTAAGCTCTTTGTGTAAGCTTTTGTGTTAGCTTCAAAATTTAGAACTTCATTCATAATTGTCAACCTATAAGTAGAGATATATATATATATATATATAATGTGCATGGATATATTGTGAGGTTCATAGTTCACTAGGTAATTGTTGTTAGCCAATTTCTTGACAACATAACATTTTTTGTCCTAACGGTTGTTTAACATATGGTATTACAACTTTGGTTTGAGGTTGTCTAACATAGTATTTGAGCTCTAGTTTGACGAGCTCCTTAGTTCGAATCCTCCAAGCCCCATTCCGTTATATATATATATGTTTCGAGTGATTTCTTGTTCGCCTAGTGGTTGTCTAACAATTAGAAATGTCTCAAAGTTTAACTAAGTACCCTCTTGATAATCTTTAACTTGTATATGATCAATATTTGGTATTTCGTTGAGCTAGATATTGAAGTAGCAACTAATTTGCGTGCAATGAGAGCATGCATATCTCATGGGACAACATAAGTTGATTAACTGAGAAGATTTGAGCCATGCATGCATCAATTGCTACTTCTTTGCTGTGATGTTTACTTTAGATTTATTAGTTTAGGATGTACGCATTCCCAATCGTGACAAAACAAACTTTTGCTTATCGTTATAATTATTTTTATTTGGACATGGATTTGTTTTATATTGTATCAATCAGTACTTGTGTAATGCACTACAAGTATTGATGTGAAATAAGTGATAGATGTTTGGCATTTGAGGGCAAGAAAGACAATTTGATTATTGAATGTCTGTATTTTTAGGTTAGGCCCAACCTCAACCGTAGCCGTTGTTTTCAATTACCTGTTGTGAGCTGAGCTGAACCTAAAGTTGTTTGCTGTTTTCCTCATTCTAAAAGGTTGATTTGAGTGAGTTTGGGCTGTTATCCCGATAGATATAAAATGTCCTTTCAAAGATTAAGGCGGCCTTTCGTTTTCTGGACGGCTGATTTCATTCTACTTTCAATAGTTTCCTACCACTAACTTGAGTGTTATTCTTACAAGGCTCCTCCTACTTTGCTGCTCATAAGTGCATGTAAACCACTATTAAGTGTGTCACAAGTACACCACTAAATTCTTACAACTTGGAAATTCAAACTATTTTCATTCATTTCATTGTATATATTATCTTCGTAGTATTTCAGTTCTATATTCTGGGAACATAATCCAACAACTTTGTCGACTTTATATGGTAATATCTATAACGGTCCAATGCTAAGTTGATTTCAGGTGACGCATGTTTTCCATCAAGTAATTTCCCAACTTGGATTTCTTCTTGTCCCCTCATAACAATCAATTGTAATTTTTATTGGAAAATGTCAGGCTTATCACATTTTTATACCACATTGTATACCACATCTCTAATAGAGGTGGGCTCCATTATATTGGTGGGCTCCACCTCCCTCTATTGGAGAGGTGGTATACAATGTGATAATTAATTACTTTATAATATCTCGGTAACTATTGACGACAAATTGAAGGACAAAAGCACTTATAATTTAAAAGAACGATAGTATTTTATTGATAAGATAAACAAAACAAATACGAATCAATTAAGGTGCCGAATATGAATGCAACTTTTCTCTATTGATCAAACGCAACAACACCCAAAAAATGATTAATATTCCCGATTCTGCAACTAGAATCACATGTACCATATGTATGAACACAGAAAATGAGCAGTCAGTGCAATCACATGTACCATATGTATGAACACAGAAAAGGAGCAGTCAGTTCAATGATTGGTGATATAAAGTTTTGTGAATGTTCTAGGCTTAAGAGTACTATATATATACAATAATGGAGAAAACTTGATCGAGTTGAACTTTTCTTCATAAGGTAAAAGACAGAGATAACCCAACTTATCTTTTGCGTTGATTAGATTAGTTTCCTATTTTATGTTCAGATGGATTAATAACTTAAAACTTCCGACTAATAAACATTTGCAACACGCAATTTTGCCAAAAGAGAGAATGGAGGACAAGAAACACCCAAGACCTCTCCAATTTGACGGTAAAAGTAAAAGTAAAAAAAAAAAAGGAAAAAGAATTTTCTGAGAAAACTGTCCGAAGACTACAAGACCAAAAATGAATAAAAATAAAGGAGAAATTTCATAAAAGGAGGCCCAGAAAAATAAAAATAAAACGTGAATAAGTTAATTTTGAGGATAAAGATAGCAAAATTCCAAGTAGTCATCAAATGTGGGCCCTCATCCAATGGTAGAAGCCCAATGGGTTTGCTTACAGAAATATCTTATTCCGAAAAAGAATAAAAAATAAAAAAAATCATTCAAGAACTGTGTAAAGCCACTACTCTCTCAGCTGTCTTTGAGCAAACAATTTCGCCACCAAACCAACCAGCCCCTACTTACTATATAAACCCTTCCTCTTTTGCTAATCACATTCTAATCTTACTTAAACCCACTTCAAATCTTCATTAATCAAAGGCGATCCACCGACCTTCTAAATTCCAAATGGCTTCCTCCTCCCAACAATCTCAGCCCTTCGACGGCCACTTCACGGTGCTGGACGACACCCAGTTTCATATCCGAGGCCGCACGCTCTTCTTCGTCATCGTCCTCTTCACCGTCGTCCTCCTCGTCACCGTCCTCTTGCTCTACGCGCGCTGGGTATGCCACTACTACCCCAACACCTCCTCCTCATCCAACGCGCCGCCCAACGCGCCGCCGCAGAGTCAGCCCAAGGGACTCGACCCCGCCGCCATCCGAACCTTGCCAATCGTCCTGTACCAGCAATCGGATCGGGACTTGGAGGCTGGCGGCGGCGGCGGCGGAGAGTGTTGCATATGCCTCGGGGTTTTCAGAGATGGCGAGAAGGTTAAGGTTCTGCCGAATTGCAGCCATTGCTACCACTCTGAGTGCGTGGATACGTGGCTCGCGACTCGGTCGAGTTGCCCGCTGTGTCGAGCTCAACTCCAAGCTCAGTCCACTACTTCCTGATTTTGCTTGGGTTTTTCCTTTTTTGGAAATAATTTACTCTTTTTTTCCTTTCTATTTGGTGTAGAATAATTTAATTCATTGTTATCCTAGATCTTGTAAATTCTTGTAAAGCAGAACTGTCCTTTGTGTTATCGTCTTTATTTGGAGATATTTTAGAACTTTTTCTTCTTCCCCTTTTCCTACTCTTGTCGTGGTTTGATTTTCTATTTCTATAAAAAAAAATGAATGCTTTGTTCTTTCCCTATAAAAATAAATGCGTTGTTTATACATTTGGCGACATATGTTCAACGAATGCCCTGAAGTTAGTCAATTTTTTTATTTTTCTTCTTAATTTGTTTTTTCTAATACAAGGGATATTAATTTAATTTATAATGGAGACTCGAACTTGACTGTAAAAGGACTAGCTCACTGTACTATTGACCAAACTCACGTCTTAATATTTTATTGAATATTTTTAAAAAATTTGAACTTTTTGGTTATGCGAAGATCGGGCTTCTAAAAAGAAAATTCTGTTCTACTCCTTTGATCGACCCAAAATCCTAATGTCACAGTAGGCCCAAAACCCAATCCTCAACCCAAAATTTGAGGATGGTAAGTAATGGCCCAACCCAAATTCAAAACCCGACTTTAACATTAGGGTTTCTTCTTCTAATATAAATAGTCGCAAAGCGCTAATATCCAAACCCTCTCAAGATAAGATAACTTCTTTTCTCCGCAGCCTTCTTTGCAGAACTAGGGTTTTGAAAGCGAACTTCGTTTCATCGTCACCATGAGAGCCAAGGTAAGAGCTCCATCTCCTTTCCCTACATGCGCTTTCTCTTATTCTTTGTTATCCGTTGGTTTATTGATTTGTTTCCTCTTGTTTTGTGGCGGGGGCAGTGGAAGAAGAAGCGCATGAGGAGGTTGAAGAGGAAGCGCCGAAAGATGAGACAGAGATCCAAGTAGTTTTGCCGCCATCCACCATCAATCGACGTCGTCTCTCACCCGATCCCCGTGTTTTGTTTTCTAATCAAGTAATCAGTACCGATTAGTCAGCTTGTAGTCGTTGTGTACTTTTGTGATTCTCTCAGTTTGAACAATTTTTGCTTAATTTCAGTCAGCTTTCAAACCATATTATGAGCTTTAAAATAACTGATTTTCTATCTGAGCCTTGGTATCGCGATTTTAAATTCTGATGGTGATGATGGATCTCTCTTATATATGCGTTGATGATTTAAAATATTGTGTCCTGAGTTAGAATATACTAGTTGATGAATGTTCTGTTGCGATAGATGCGAGAGGGAAATGTTTTATTTACGGGTGTTGTAGGCTAGTGTGAGAAATGAGCTGTTCAGATATCACTGTCTATTTGCAAGGTAGAGATGAATTTTTACGACTTTGATATTAGTACTTGGGCGCCATGGAAGGTGATCTATGTGTCGGGCGAATGCCTAGCCCCTGTTGAGTAGATATGGTGTTTAATGTGGCGATGGCCTTCCTAGCCTTGTTGAGTAGGCATGGTTTGTGTTCTAGGATGAGTAACAGATGAATGACTTGGCTTCATTTGGACTTGTTTGCTTTGTAAGTTGATTGAAGTCAATTACGATAGTGGGTTCTTATATTTTGGATAGGTTGATTGAATTCTGTAATCGAAATTTTGGATTGGGTTGGACATGATTCTGTCATCGGAACTGAAAGAGGTGTTTTAGGTAGGTATGACAGTCTTGGTTAGGTTGTTTTCACCAGTGTGTATGGCTTGGGATGGTGTATAGTTAAGACTTTGGTAATAAGCACAGGCATGCGTTTTTGTATGAGAAATAGGTTTCCTGTAAAATTTCCATGATTTCCCCCCGTTTAGTTTGTGCAATGCTATATATAATACATGCCTTGCTGAGTTTTAATCTGTGTTGAAGGGCTAGTTAGAAGACACTCGTAATTGCAATTCTGTTCTGTTTTACTCTTAAACGGAGGTGGAAGACATGCGAATAGTTTTGTTTACCTTTCGAAAGCGATTATATCCTCCACATAAGAAATGGAACTACATGCTCTGGTTGAAGGAAAAGTTATAAATCGGCAACTTTATGTGTTTCCATATTGATATGCGTGCAACAACGCCATATGCAAATACACACTGAAAACTCTGAACAGAATATGTGGTTAAATCTTTGTTGCGTCCACAAAGTATGTTTGCATTGCCTACGGATTATTGCATCCTTAAATCAATGCCCTCGGACGGTCTTAATTTTGTTGGTCGATTGGAATACTAATTTTCTTTTTACTATCCTATTGTTATTCACGATCACGATCGCAAATAAAACTTGGGCAGATTGCTAAACTGAAACCTAAGTAGTAAGAGTTGGTAACTATCATCTGATGATGATGATGATGATGATGATGCTGATGCATATGAAGATTTCCTAGTTCACGCCTATTATGAAAGTGAGAATTCACAACCCAACAGAGACCAAAAGATATTGAAAACAGAAAATATTCAAGCGTTACGGATCATTTTGGAGCGCTGCTGACTGAACCCCAAACGATGTGGGACCATCCTCGGCCCGTAAGCTATCAACGTAATTCCTCACCTCCTGGGCTATCATCCGCTGCATGATCGTCAGCAAACACTTCTCTTCCATCTCCACAGCACATTTTCCCTCGTCATCATGATCCTCGCTCTTCAAAACGACCTCGTTTTCCTCCTTCTCGCCAGGTGGCGACAGCGTCAGCGACGTCTCTACCACCCCCTCCCCTCCCACGTCCGCTTTAAAGCTGTCGGGCTCCGGCGACACCCTCAGGCACTGCCGCTTCATGCCCGGCTCGTACCTGATCGGCGCGGCCGAGTTGGAATCGGATGACGCGGACGACAACTCGGCTAGTTGGCGACGACGCCGTAGCGTGGAGTTCCAGTGGTTCTTGATGGCATTATCTGTTCGGCCTGGGAGGAGGCGGGCGATGGTGGCCCACTTGTTACCGTGGAGGGCGTGGGCCCGGACGATAATGTTGTCCTCTTGCTGCGTAAAGGACTTGTGCTGGACAGTGGGGCTGAGCTGGTTGCACCACCGGAGGCGGCAGGACTTGCCGGAGCGGCCGGGGATGCCGGTGCTGATGAGGGACCAGTTGCGTGGGCCGTGCTGGGCAACCAGCTTGATGAGCGTGGAGTCCTCTTGTGGGCTCCACGACCCCTTCACTCGATCCTCATCACTGTTGATCACGCTCATGATGATCATCATACGACGATGATGATCAGAGGGAGTTAGAGAGAGAGGAGAAATGGATTGTGTGAATTTGAGAATGGGAAGGGACAGAGGAGCGTTTGAAGAGTGTTTTTAACCGTTTGAACGGGGGGTTGGCGACATGCATGAACCGTAAAACCGCTCTGATTCACATAACAGAAATTAACTTGAAACGCGTTTCTTTCCTTTCTGTTTTTTTAATAAAAATTTTATTTTGTACGATAATATTATTATTTAGCCTCTGGGAAATGCTGGGTTTTTTTGTTGTTGTCAAACTTGTCTGGGTTTAAGAAGTAGGAGGTTATAACTTCCATCGAGACTGATGGTTGTTGTCAAACTTTTCTTTTGATTATAGAGCTCAATTCTCTAGATCAATCTGATCCGTCGGACTGATGACTTCGATTTGAGATGGATGGTGATGATGGTACACACACACTCGTAAGAATTAACAGAAAAAAGAAAAAGAAAAAAAAAGAGTAAGGGCAGTTTGTTGAATGTAGAGTAGGATAGTGTAGAGAGGGAAGTGGGTAACGGCTATCCGTTTGTTAATGGGACGGAAACGGAACGGAATAGGAGTGTGAAGCAACTACTGAACTGCCGAACCGACATTAGGGGTGGATAGTATGGTCATGTCATGGATCCATTTGTTAAACAGTTAAATCTATACTAGCCTCTTGGCACATGCTCACGCATGTGTCAATTGGTTTTCTTTTTTATTTTTTTATTTTATTTTTAGAATTAAGAAAAGATATCATGGATAGTTATATTCCATAAAAATAGGACCTATTATTTGATTTTGTTTTCAAATTTATTTATTTTTAAATGAAAAAAGTGAATTTACCATATTATCCTTATTTAATTAATAATTTTAATTCTTAATGTTTGAATTAACCAATGGTATTTTCTGATATTTTGAATGTTTCACCATTCTCTGCCTTTTGCTTTATATCAAGGCAGAGAATGATGAAACATTCAAAATACCACAAAATACCCTTGGTTAATTCAAACATTAAGAATTGAAATTATTAATTAAATGAGGATAATATGATAAATTTACATTTTTTCATATTAAAAATAAAATAAAATCAGATAATAGGTCATACTTTTATGGAACATAACTACCCATATTATTTTTTCTTAATTCTAAAAATAAAATAAAAAATAAAAAATAAAACCAATTGACACATGTGTGAGCATGTGCCAAGGGGCTAGTAGTAAACTATATTATTATTAACTCACCTTCTGGAGTAAATTACAATGGAAAAAGAAAGTTGGTAGACAAGTTTAATTCTACAACATGACATCAATTCCAACTACTACACTCGCAGGCATCGAATTCAAAGTTTGTGACCCTAAAAGATTGACGAGAGTTGAAATAAGTAGATGCAGATAACAAAGTGGAGTAACTAAATGCATTTTTTATTACTAAGAAATTAGGTATATAATCATTAACATCTCAAACCTCAATTGCGTCAAATTGGAGCAATAGACTCAAAATGGCACCTTTACAGATTCACCAAAAAGGGGTTATATTGAGGGGTTTAATACAACCGTACAATAATGACTTTGTAATTTATCGGATGATTATTAGGCACCGTTTGGTTCATGGGAAAGGAGACTTAGGGATGAAAAATCAATTGCTTTCCTATGTTTGGTAAGTCCAGACATGAGAAATCGTTTGTCCATGGGAAAGTAAGGGCGAAAGTGAAGCCATTCTCCCAACTTGGGTTTTGTTTTCCCTCCTCATGGGAAAGCTTGGAAAAATGAGCCAATATTAAATCAACATTTTTCATGATAATTTTGTCCCCATTAACAATTTACGATTACAATAAATCATTAAATGCATTCTTTTTTTATTTGATTTAATATGGATATAATTGAAAATGTAAACAAACTTTGTTTTCCATTCCTACTCAAAACAAACATGGGAAAGGAAATAAAGTGATATCTTTCGATTACTTTCCCAGTATTACCAAACGTGGGCAAGGAATCTTCTATTTCCCATCCATTGGGAAATGATTTCCCTTCAAATTCATTCCGTGAACCAAACAAGGCCTTAAGGATTCCGTGTCATTATTGCCTCCCTACTCATGGATATGGACGACCATATAGATACCCATTTAGTGTTTAGCGACGTGGTGGTGCGGTGGTAATTGGGTCCAAGGAGTACCCATTGTCCATCCCTACAATACAAGCACCCTCTTCCTTTTTTGCGTCCAAAGGCGATATAATTTTATTGATAATGTAGGATGAAAACAAGTACCAAAAACAAAAATCAAGCTATGTCTTAGAGGATTAAGCGAACATCTCTACACATAAAGGTGTAGGGGTCGTCGGACTACCTAGGTAGCCTACCTTCACAACCGCAAGCAAGAAAAGGAATCTTGCCACTGTTACAGCGCTCCACGTCCCCCTAAGATCATACCAGTGAAAAAATTACTTGTTACAATCCTCGTACAAAGCATCAATAATTAAATCTGGTGATTCTTCAAACCAAGTAGTAGTCGATCCATGTGTGAAGCAAAGCATGGCAAGCACCCTCTTCTTATTAAGCAATTAGAGATAAACTTAGGCCAAAATAACAGAAATGCAATTATTTGTTATCAAATTCCAAAATTGAGTACAATTACAAGATGCCAGCTAATGCAACTTGGCAAAAATAAGCAAAACATCACATATATTTATTGTTCAATCTAATCATGCAAACTTCTCTTCTTCAATATGGTAGGAAGCCACACATGATAAATCACCTCCTGCTCCTTCTTTGTTGTGCCCACAGTTGCCTTATTGCCTTATGCATGCCCCCAAGCTTATAGCTTAATCTCTCCACATGTCAATACAATCCATGATTGAAGCATGTCTCCCAAGGGAAGAACACAAAGAAAAGAATAGAGACTCAATGTACTCTATAAATCACTTGATTCACACACACTTCAAAAAATCTTGGGAACAAAATAAGATCTAATTTGGGTATTGAAATGGCAAGAAAAACCTCTGCCTCTTGCTTCTAATTCGACAGTTTGGTGCCATAGATGATGCGCAAATTTTACTCAAAACCAACTTAAGTGACTGCTTGAGAGTGCTTATGCAGAGAGCCTCATCTTCTTCACCATCTTTACAGAGGACCAAAACGCTTTTGATTCTGCCACCCACACTTGCCATGTCTGCTCTCACTGCTGTCAGCTTTAGGCCTTTGAGCACTTGAATGAGCTCCGAGAACAGTTCTGGCCTGTCATCGCAGCAAACAGATGCCCTTATGACGATACTGCACCTGCTTTTGTTCATATTAATATTGTTGCTGCTGGAGTTTGCAGCAGCCTGAGCAGGATCAGAGTCGATGGTTATTTCATCCATTTCAGTTGGAACCATGAAGGCTTTGCTGACTTCCATTGCTTTTCGCTTTAGATCCTTCACATGATCGATCACACTTCCCAACAGAGCTGCCTTGTCCATCTGTAGAAACGTCGATATGTTATGTTGTTAGACAGTCAATTCTCGAGAATCGAGAATTATTAAGTGATATTGTACTAAGTACCTTGTCGGACTTGGGAATTAGTTTCCTTAGAGTTGCAAGCTGTGCATTGATTCTATCTCTGCGCCTTTTCTCTGCTTGGCTGTGGCTCTTTGAAGCAGTTGCAGCTCTGTCTTCTTCATCAGCACCTTCAGCTGCTGCAGACCAAGAATTTGGGAACCCACAAAACTGGAATTGGGTAGAGCTGGAGGCATGAGGAGGCCATGGAAGTGGAAAGCTGGAAGACTCATTGCTCAGCGCAGCAGAGTTGTAGGGAGCCCAGGTTGCCCCTTGAGGACCAGCACAATAACAATTCTCCATAGCCAAAAACAACCAACACTTCTCTAAAACCTTACTCTCCATCCCCTTTGCCTTTTATCTCACATCAAGATCTACTGTTCATTGCACTAATAATGTGTGATCTCCACACCTTTGATAGTGATCGGTAGTTATCCATAAAACGTTTAACTTGTCAAATGAAATTTGCTTTTGGCCGTATCCGGCTTTTCTCAATACGATTTTTATTTGTATTTTGCACTTTTTTTTTTTCCTGCTTTTCTTTTGATTCATCAGTAAACAACAAAACCTTAAAGGGCTCTCGGTAATTAGAAAAATCGAAGAATGCTTAATCCACTATATATTTCACTGCATTTGGGTTCACAAAAGGACATAGAGATTTGTCTCATCACATCAACTTTCTAAACCAAAACCAATTTAGAAACATCCTATAGCAAAACTCGCAAAAATCGTAGTAAAATATTGTACGAGAAGATTATGCTATGTTATCGAACTATCAAATATGAAAAATGAAGATGGATCATCAACTTAATAGCAGCTTCTCTGCTGTGCATGCATTGACTTGGTAACAGAATAGTAGGGAAGATGGATCATCAACTTAATTTGTGATAAAAACCACGAGAATAAGATTTGTAAAATGCTAATTAATGTTGTAACTTTGTCTAATTTATCCTCTCTCTTTTTTACTCCACCTTTTCTCTTTAATTTGGAGTGTGCATGGAGAAGCATGTAAAGCTCCCATGAAGGAAAAAGGATGAGGCTTAGAGAGAGGAAATTTTATGATGGTTAATGAGAATTGACTCATATTAGCACAATGCTTTTCAGCCTTTAAATATACAAAGCTCATATTAACCCCTTAAACCAACCATTGTTAAGAAGTTCTAACCTACTCTTAACACAACTTTAACAAGACTAAAGCACACTGCCACATCACCCATAATTCAAGTGAGATACAGCTGCTGGCAGCTGACTTGTGCTTTTTCAGGAACCACTATCAAACCTCACCACTGTGCTTTTTCATCCCCACTAAATCAGGACGATTGTGCAATATTGTTTATGTTTCATAGTTTTTTCTATGTTTGACATAACTAGCGAACTAGAATTGTTAATTGCTAAATATGTAGAATCGGGTTGAATTTATTGACAATTGTCAAACATAATCTTACTGTCAGATCAGATTATTTCCATGAGATCTCTTAAATCTAGCAAGATTTATTTCTTGTATGCCTTACTAACCTAACAAGTTGCCACTCATTTTAGTGGCTCGGTTTGTCCTATTTCATGGGTTTTGCTTGTGCTGTACGACACAAGCAGACAAAATTGCTTCAGTAAGAATCAAGGGCCGAATATATAGGGCCCTGATTTCACTCAAACATTGTAACTCACCATAAAGAGGACTTTAAAGATTGATACGACATCTGATCAACCACTTGCTTTGCAGAGTTGCCCATTTTCTCATATTTGTGTGGTGTTTATAGCTCCCGTATCTTCTTCTTCCTTCATTTTCTAAAAATCCATATCTCAAACGCAGTCTTTTCGGGTCCCATTTGGTTCAACATATTTGCTTGAATTATATCTACCGTCGGCTGGAGCCATGATAAAAGGTGCCACGTCTAAAGACTAAGAAAATATGAATGGCTCCAGTGGATAGCCCACTTTGGTCTTCTCTCTGGTCATAGATGACAGCAAATTAAATGAGCACGTGTTTGATCATGAGAACAGATGGGTGAGTTCATGCATGTTTGATCCAACTTAAGAAAGCTCATGCTTTAGGTGCTGGCAAGGCATTTGTTGGGATGAATCAGATTCTGCCCAAATGAAATGAGCCGCAACTTATGGTTGCGTCTTGCACTAAAATATCTCAAGGTCAATGTAAATTTTGACAGAAATACAAAGTGAAAGGCTTTTTCTTTGTTCATTTTCAACAAAGTGAAAGACTTGTTTTTGAGGAGATTGGAAACAAAGGGAAGAAGTTCAAGGAATTGAATAGCTGTTACCATATGTTTATCTTCAATGAAGCTACAAAAGTATACGAGCAGTAAATGTTGAATACTCATGATCATGACACAACAAATATTGACCCTGCAAATCTTTGTACATTGACGTGTATATCTTGCCTAACATGATTTCAAATCCTATTCCTGTGGCTGTGGCTGCGAAGGAGAACTTTGGTACATGGAGGCGTCAAGGTGGCTCGCCCAATGTTGATTTCAAATCCACAGTCCATCCCTCAGTTTTCATTGAAATGGATGGCACCAAGTTTCCAAACAACGTAAGTTGTAGCAAACATGACCGTGCTGATAAATACAAATGAGAAGATAATTAGAAACAAATCAGCACCCCCTGGAAAATCCCAAGTTAGGCCCTGCTTTGGCATCCCTCGCTTGCTGTCGTCAAAAATGTTTGTAGGGGCCTCTGGAAGTCCGGATCTTTTCTTCCCACGTTCACTGTCTCTGAGAGCATCTAATACATTCTTGCCCCTATCTGATTTTTTAGTTGGCTTTGTTTCAGTGTTATAACGCCTGAGAACCTTGGCTGCCCTCAGTCTCTCCCTAGCTGTTAGCGGCAATCTTTTTGATTTATTAGGTGACAGAGGTGCGTCCCCCTCCTGGCTTGAGGAAACTGAAGACCCATTGGAAGGCTCAGAGGTTTGAGTCCCTGACTGATCTAGGACACTAGTTTGGAACTGACTATCGTTGGCAGAAGAACCCAAAGATGAAGAATTCACAATTGGTAATCGGTCATCAGAAGGAGAACTTGCAGTATTTCCAGAAGCCTTATCATCGGTCTCTGTGGTAAGACGATTGCTATCAGCAACTGAAAGACATAAGCCCCGTCTTTTCTTGCTTATATCCCTCTTTGGCCTAAATGTTCCGAATGAAGATGTGAATTGGGTAGCCGTAGGTATACAAGCTCCAGCAGAAAATTGTGACACGCTCTGGTACTTGGCTTTTAACTTCAAATGGAAAAGAAAAAACTTATGTAAATTATAGAATCATTTGTTGAACAATCATCTCCAACATACTTAGAAACAGTCCCTTGAACCGTTCATTAGTAATGAGAGCATGAAACTATTCAGCTATATAGAACACAATTTTTGAAAGGTACAATTAATTTCTAATTTAGATGCATTGAGACATCGTACCAATCATGCAAAAAAGTAGAAAGCATATCAATGATTAAGTCTAACTAAGAGTGAAGCTAAGTACTTCTCCTTTCATAAAACAGACCGAAGTTTTGGAAGGTAAACAAAAATTCCCCCTTGAGTTCTGACCATGAAGCTTAAGCAAACAAAAAATCATAAAAGGAGAGGCATAAGTTTTCTTTTCTGAAAAATGAAATCACCATAGGCGCCTTCCTTTCTTCCAGGAAACTTGGGTCAAACAAAAACAAATTTGGCACAATAGTCATCAGTAGGATTAAGTCCTAACAGTCAAAAACCTCAACAACTAAAAGAAAGCCTCATCCTTGAGCCAAGATTCATCCTTTTAAAGGTCACAACCCAGTTGAATATTATATGTTTCAAAAGAAAAAGATATTGAAATGGGTATTATCAGTAGTAAGTACCAGAAAAACAAAAACCCAGAAGGGGTTGAAAACAAAGAAGAAAAAAATTGGTTCAAGTTGTAGTAATTCGCTATAAACATGCATTCATAGACACAAATTGAACATAGACAACAGACGGAATGGTGCATAAGAGGAGCATGAAATTACCATAGAATTGAAGCCAACTGCCGAGTAGAATGAAACAGCCATTTTCTGGTCGTCTACGGCCCAACCATTTAGAGAGAGAGAGAGAGTTACACACCGTGTGTCTGCGTTGTGGTGCAATGGAGTGGATGGTCTGTAATCCAAGGAAAGGGGATGAGAATTTGATGGCACCACAGCCTATCCTAGCTCGTGCTTAGCACGCCGCCTTCTTTATTTTTTGTTTTCCAATGTCCCAACGACATGTCGTTTTATAATGAAAAACAATGAAGTAACGACGCGGTCTTTCATTTATTTCATCCAAACTTGAGTGAATTAAAAATCTAATGGCTCAACATTGTCCACATTAACGTTGAAAAGAGAGAAAAAAAGAAAAAGAAAAATGGGAAAGAAAAGGCTAAATTGGATGTCTAGAAGAACTGTAAATATTCGAAAGGCAATACAAAGTCGCTCAGAAAACTTGGATTTCTCAACTACATGAAATCATAGACATCAAAATTATAACAACTGATTAGAGACGGCAGCATAATCTAACTTTTTGAGTTACTGGTAAGACTTGGAGTGAAAAAATAAAAAGGTTATAAAACTAAGGGCTGATGAAAGGGCTCTTCTCTATTAAGTTACAAGTATATTGTGATTGATATCAAGTCCACTATTTCTAAGCCTGGGTAAGTATTGGAGAGACGGCAGCTTTGAAATCTTCATAGAATCTTTGCTCAGAATATGTGTCAGCCCGTTTCCTTGCAGCTGCAGCCATCTTGAGCCTCTCTGTTTCTGGCATTTTTATGATACTGAGGATGGCATCTGCATATTCCTCCACGGTGCGGGCAAGAAATCCTGTTTGCTGTCCATCTTCAGGTAAGACAATGTCCATTTTTGGGCCAGCAGAATTATGTGCTGAAACAAGGGAAAACATGAGGAACATCAGCACAGGAAAGAATGAATAAGACAAGTTACAGAGTTTGTTGGTTCAGATTCAGATGACAGATAACTTGAGATGCTCACCAATTGGGATGGCTCCTGCAGCCATATACTCCACAACACTTATTCCAAAGTGCTCATCAGTCATTGAATGGATTCCTGCAATGGCTCCTGCCAAAAGTTGCACCAAGTCCCTGTAGACATGAAAACTAACCAAGCTAAGAAAGCAATAACAAATCCAAATCAAATTACAAGAATAAAGGATAACCCAACAAGTTCAAGAAAACTTATGTACAAAAAGAGAATAGTTCAGATGTTTGCATAAGCATTTGACAAGATTAATTTGATCAGCAAAAAAGGATACAGAACATGAAATCCTTAGCACAGACCTGTACATGACATTTTTATGAAATTCCACATCCCCGTCCACTTTCAATTCAATTGCTTTATCTTTCAAACTTTGTAATCTTTCCTCATCCGACTTATTCCGACAGCTACCCACAAACTGTAGCTTAGGTCTGGGCAAGTGTGCATCTAATTTCCCTATGGCAGCTGCAAAGGCCTCAAGTTGGAGGCCATGTGCCTGAGAAAGAAATAACCAAAGTTCATAAGGACTTGCCAGCAGCCAGAACAAGTAAAGGCCCCACAAATGAGCCGCAAAAATTTTAGTACCTTGTGCTCATAAGGTTTATATGCCCACCTTCTCTGGCCGAAACTGTGCAACAGATATAATTTTCGCCGGTTCCGCTGGCCTCTCCAAAGAAAGCACCTATTCGGGCAGAAACTTGTTAAAAGGCAAATCCAATTGCATATTTGCAGCACATCATTGTCACATTCATAACTCGTAAAACCATGTTCCCAAGTAAAATGTCAAGACACTGGTAACAAACCTGAAGTCCAGAAGTATCACAAGGAGGGTAGACACGCTTAGTCCGTTCCGGGATTTTCCAGAGCTTTTCGATATGGGACTGAGTCCAAGAAGAATTAACCATAGCAAGATGGGCACAAGAGCCTACAGTCCCATACATCCGGCTAAATATATTGTAGTAGATGACTTTGCATCTGGATAACCAATTGCTACAACAACACAACAAAAGCAATCCATGTTGAGCTTTTTCGGCTAAACAAATAGCAAAGCATATTATTCATCAATCATTATCAGCAATCAGCACATGTTAATAGCGACGATGAACATACCTCTGAGCAATGAAGTCGTCATTGTTGTACATGGAGCTCCGCTGACGAACACGAGAGAGCATGTCGCAGCTGATTGTAGGGTAATGGGTGTAGCAGATAACTCTGCATCCAAACAACCTGGCAAGGGGATACGTAAAGGCGTAGCCACTGGTGTCGAGATAGTAAGTAGGAGTGAACTTGGTCAAGGCCTCCCATGCGAGGTAGACAGAGCCAAGGCTCTGCCCAATCATGGTCAAGCGTGGGTACGTGGCTTCCTCGATCCACTTCCTCTTGTTCAAATGCACCACCTTCAAATTCCAACCCAAATTCAAGTTTTTAAAAATAAAATAAAAAATTGAATCTTGATAGAAGACGAAAGTGAGAGAGAGAGTACCTTAGGTGGGTGAAGGAGTTTGACCCCAAAGCGGTCGAGGGCGCGCGCGGTCAAGGAGAGAGGGGAGGCGTCATGGTCGCCGGTGTAGACGAGGCAGTGGAGGGAGGGGTTTTCGTCCTGGATGGCTTTGACGGCGCACCAGAGGACCCTCTCGCCGCCGCCGCCGTCGTTGGTGTAGGGGTGGAAGAAGGCCACCGCTAGTTTTCTGTTGTTTCTGGCGGTGAATATTTGGAGAGAGAATCTGAGGATCAAGGCTGAGAGAGCTGTGATCAGACCCCAAATCACGAATTGGTAAGCCATTGACGTCGATCGATCGTCTTGGGAAATTTGTAGAGAGGCCCGGAAATTGAATGATGAAAAAGGACTCAACTCGATTGTTTCGATTTTCTGACTATGTAACGAGACCCAAAGATAGAACAACACTAAACAGAACGAACACGATGTCGTTTTGGTTTTTGAATATTTTCGAATATTTTAATAGTATAGCCGTGCGGCTATACACTCGGCTATACACTTTGTCATATATTCCAATATTTTAATAGTATCGCCGCGCGGCTATACGTTTTGAATATATTCGGATATTTTAATAGTACAGCCGCACGTCTGTACTCTATACGTATCTAAATCGTATAGCCGCGCGGCTATACTAGTTGAATATATTCGAATATTTTAATAGTATAGCCGTGCGGCGATACGCTTTTAATGGTACAACTATGCTATACTCTAATTATATTATAATATTTTAATAATATAGCCGGGCGGCTGTACGCATTGAATATATTCGAATATTTTAATGGTACAGCCGTGCAGCCACACCCTATACTTATGTTTGAATACTCTCTCTCTCTCATCTTCCAATTGGGAGAGAAGATAAACGCATAAAATGTAGCTCTCCAACTCTCCATTATTTGCCAGATGTCACAAATGACAAAACTGGGAAACAGAAGGCACGAGATTTGGTAACTGTAAAGCCGAACTCCACCTAGGCAGATTTTTCGAACGCATTTCTTCTCTCTTTCAAAAATTTATATTATTTATTATCCTTTTGCCTATCACATTGCACCCAAAGCAATGACAAGCGTATTTGGGACTTCAACGTTGAATAGGTTTGAGAAGAACGGGCTTCATATGATAAGCAGAAGACAAGATATGATAATTTCAAAATCTTAAAAGATAAAACATGAAGGATTAAAAATCAGTCAACAAACTGCACCTTGCAGTTGGAAAACAAACGGTTGCTGCACCAATCAATTACAAATGGGACATACATTAAAGAAGCGTGTAAATAAAGCACTTCAAAATTATCAGTGTACTGTTTTGTATTATACTCAGGCAAGTTTGAAAAACGAGAACAATAATACAGAGGAGAAAATTCTAAGCTCTCCCTCAACCAACAGCCAAAAAGAAAAAATGCCTCTGCTACAAAAGAATATTACAAGACGACATATCCACACAACCTATGACACAATTATTTAAGCTGCACCCTTTCAACCCATCAAAAACAAATTAGAAAAATAAAATAAAAAGGAAATGACGGCATGTAAGCCTTCATAAAATTACACTAAATGGAACGTTCTATCGAATAGGTTGCCCTACTGACTAAAACACCAAATTCAAGATCCAGTTCCACAAGAATAGTTCATCTCAATAGCTACTGCCCATTGGTGGCATGCCAAAAGGTGGCATGCCCATTGGTGGCATTCCTCCCATGGGTGGCGGAGGAGCAAACCCCCCTCCCATACCAGGCATTGGTGGTGCAGGCAAAGCAAGAGGCAGCAACTGAGCATACATGTTCTGCAAACATATTTAATTCAATGAATCATAATGTAAAATGATGTTTAAGCAAAGAAAGCTAAGTCAAGAAGGGGAAATTTGGAACAATTTTTAAGCGGACGTAGGCAAATTGATAGAACACAGTTTTATACAAGGCAAAAGTATAGGAGCAATATCAAAGTGAATACCTGCTGTGCAATAACTTCTTTCTCTTCCTGCTCTTTAGCCTTCACCTCTTTCTGAGCTTCAAGTTTGTCCTTCACTAGTTCATCAACTTTGCCAGTGTATTCACGGATAAACTGCAAAACAGAGAATGTGAAAGATCACCATTACATAATGTTCAACTGGGTTGAACGTGCTGCTTCTTCCAAGTGCTTCGATGAAAGATTCCAATCAAAACCAAACAACTTCAATTTAAAGAAAGTCCAATGAATGCTTAGAAGCAGAATGCTTGGAACCACAAACAAAACAGACATCTAATTGACCCTTAACAAACAAGAAAGTTCAGGACAAGATTTTAAAAAATTACCTGTAGCAGATATGGGAAAGCAAAGTCAATCATGTTGTTCATCCAAGCAAGTTCAAGGACAACATCTGCCCTAATCAAATCGTAACAGACAAACAGGCATGATGCAAAGCATTCTTTCTTTCCCTGCAATTTGAACAAAAAAATAAACATTTATTAACCCTAATAATATTAAAATAAAAAACAATAAGTGGATTTTCCTTTTTCTTTCAAAGAGCTCCTTACCTGTTCAATGAAATAAACAAGCAACTCCTCTGC